TCTTCTTCTTCTTCTTCTTCTTCTTCTTCTTCTTCTTCTTCTTCTTCCTTCCTTCCTTCCTTCCTTCCTTCCTTCCTTCCTCCTCCTCCTTCTTCTCCGACTGCAAAATTCCACAAATAAAGCAAGACAATTGCATTTTGTAATTTTTCTTTTACCCTGTTCAATTCAAAAATCTCTTCATTAATTCTAGCACTCCCTCATGTGGGGGAAAAACAGAACTAAAACTCCAGTTATAAAATCTGTGCAACACAAGAGTCGTTTCCCAAACATCAATACCCCAAAATTTTAACCTCTGCAAATGTACTAATCTGTATTTTTATTTTTTTTATTTTGCAAAACAGGTTGTGGACACACAAAATGGTTGCTATAGTGACTGTGGGCCAATCAGAAAGGCAAAACTTCCAGATACATACAACCAGCCAATGTTGTATTAAATAGTGTCCCTCATCTAAAAATGACTTCTACATTCACCCTCGAGTGATAATTAGTAATGCAAATTATGGTTGAAGTTTACCTTTTGCTATATGCTAATTTTCTATTCATTTTTTTAAAAATTAAAATAAATGTTTAGAAACAGGACAGGGAATATGCTAACAATCAATTGCTACAAGATAGGTAGCAAATAAATTCACATTGATTTGCATTGTATTTATTTGAATTCATCTAAATAAATAAATACAGTGAGTGCCGAGGAACATTTAAATGTTTTATTTATTTATTAAACACATTTTCTACACTGCCACAATCACAGCAACTCACATTTTGCAGCTTTCACATTTTCTGGTGGGCCCAGAGAGGATACACATAGATTCATAGATTTTTTTAAAAAATGTCCATGATGGTAACTACTGGATAAAAAGGTAGCGGGGGGGGGGGGAGAGAAACTAGAAAAAGAAGACAAGTATGTGAAAATTGGAAGGGATAATTCAGGGCCCAGCATCAATGGAGCAGGTTAATAGTGTTCCTGCCCTACATTCTCATGTAGGATCGATATTGCAAGAGTCTTGAACAGAATTGCATGTAAGGGATTATGTAGATATTCATCCAGATAGTTCCAAAGTTGCCAATCAGGTTTGATTACAACAGGGATGTGGGAAGATGTGGGTTTGGAGTAAAAGGATGTATTCATTCGTTGATTTCTTTGCAACACCAATAGAGCTGACCAACTCAACAAAGAATAACTGTTGGAAAGAGTTGATACCATTGAAACACGAATAACATCCCTTGACACCATAGTAGCATCCCTGGACGCCTTAAAAGAAAGATTATCCAACCTTGAAAAAAAAGACACCACGCAAAAACCTGAACATCCAATAGCTACAAACCACATCTCTACCCAACAACCACAACCCAATCCACAACCCAATCCACAAAAAAACCCATAAGCCAGACAAATAATGAGGTAGACAGAACCAGTAGAAATCCACCCCTGATGAGGTTACCTAGTTGGGTCATGAGATGTCCGCAAGAAAAACCAACAAGCTCAGAGAGCCCTGAGCTTAAAAAATAGTCTCCTTTATTGCTATTATCGCTTGACAAACAAACATACTGTCCCCAAGATTAATATGGGAACAGACCCCACATATTAATCTTTTAACCTTGGAAAATATAAAAATATAAACCAGGTTTTTAAGAAGAGATTGGGTTGAAATGGTATAGGGTTTCCTGCCTAAGCAGGGGGTTGGACTAGAAGACCTCCAAGGTCCCTTCCAACTCTGTTATTCTATTCTATTCTATTCTATTCTATTCTATTCTATTCTATTCTATTCTATTCTATTCTATTCTATTCTATTCTATTCTAATTCTAATTCTATTCCTATCCTTTCTATTTCACCCTATTCCTAATCTGTCCTATCCTTCCTATTTCTTTATATTCCTACCCTATCCCTATCCCTATCCTATCCTATCCTATGCTATCCTATCCTAAAAAACCCTAACTTCTGGTGGCGGCCCTAAGAAACTCCACGCAAGCTGCAAAACTGAATCCAAGATTGCATCTCCCATCCGACCCCTTTCAATCTCGCTGCAGCTGATTGCAGAATCGGCCAGCAGGCAAGGCCGGGCGAGTGAGTGGGTGGATCCCCTCCGGGCGATCTCCGATTGCGCAACCTCCTGCGGGGACCGGCCGCGCGCGCCGCGTCTCCCTCTCTCCCCCCAGCCGGTCCGCCTTTCCTTGCGCCCCGCCCCGGTTCCTCCTCCATCTCCTCCTCCTCTTCCTCCTGCGGGGCTCCAGCTCGCCCAGCCGCCGACCTCCATCCTGCACCAGCGGGCACAGCAGCAGCAGCCTCCTCCTTCTCCGCGATCCTAAGCAGCCGCATCGCGCGCAAGGCCGGGGCCATGGCGGGGGACGAGGCGGGCGGCGGCGGGGCGGCGGCGGAAGGCTCGGAGGCCGCCAGCCCGGGCTTGCTGATGGAGGTGGTCAGCTCCCCGCTGAACCTGAGCCTGCTGGGCCTCTGCCTCTTCCTGCTCTACCAGATCGTGCGCGGGGATCGGCCGCGCGCCCAGCCCGAGGGCGAAGAGGAGCCGCCGCCGCTGCCCAAGCTCAAGCGCCGCGACTTCACCCTGGCCCAGCTGCGCCCCTTCGACGGCCTGGCCGACCCGCGCATCCTCATGGCCATCAACGGGAAGGTCTTCGACGTCAGCCGAGGCCGCAAGTTCTACGGGCCCGGTGAGCCGCCGCAGGCCGCAGAGCGGAAACCCCCCCCCCCCCCCCCCCCCGCCGCCCCCCCCCCCCCTCGCCCGCCGGCCGGGCCCCGGCACAGGGGCCCGGTCTCAAAAGGAGCGCAGCTGAGAGCCCCCGGGGTGGGTGGGAGGGCTCAGATCCGTTTGCCCCTGAAACCCCAAGGAAGACCCCCCAAGTTGCAATGAGCCAGAGTGGATTCCCCATGTTGCAATCAACCAGAGTGGATCCCCCAAGTTGCAATGAGCCAGAGTGGATCCCCCAAGTTGCAATGAGCCAGAGTGGATCCCCCAAGTTGCAATGAGCTAGAGAGGATCCGCCAAGTTGCAGTCATCCAGAGTGGATCCGCCAAGTTGCAATCAGCCAGAGTGGATCCCCCAAGTTGCAATCAGCCAGAGTGGATCCCCCAAGTTGCAATCAGCCAGAAAAGGCCCAGAGAGGATCCCCCAACTTGCAACCAGATTCCCAGGGTGGGGGGTGGGGGGATTTATGCTGAGGGAGAGTTGCAGCACCTAAAGTAGATTATTTCGGATTTGAGGATTTGCTTTGTTACGTTAAGAAGCGTTTAGTGGGGTGTATCTAAAGATCCAATCTGTGGTTTCTTTTCCTTATCGGATTTCTCCCCTCCACCCTTCTTCCCAGCTCATTGGCTGCGGGTGGTTTTAAGCCATAAAAAAAAACCCTTGCCAGAAAGAGAGTGAAAATAAAAAGAGTTCAAAACAGGAATTATAACGGTTGAAAGAGGCAGAGGGGCCACCTTCAAGCCACCCCCACCTACCTCCTAGGGTTGGGTAGCACACTTAGACACACACACACACACACTCAATGTGCTCAATGGCCAGAACCAAAGGCCAGAATAGTGGGGGCCAGCCTCACTTCTGGGACAATAGTTGTTCTCCTAGATTAGGGGTCCCCAAACTTGGCAACTTTTAAGATTTGTGGACTTCAACTCCCAAAATTCTGGAAGTTGAAGTCCACAAGTCTTAAAGTTGTCCAAGTTTGGAGACCTTTGTCCTAGATCCTTGCTAGTGGAAATTCTTTTAGTCGGGATCTGCAACATACTTTCCCTGCTTCATCGGGTTAGATAGGTCAATGTTATCAGCACGAGATGGTTTTCAGATTACACTTTTAAGAACAAATGTAGACTTTGGCACACACACACACACACGCACACACAGAGGCCTCTTTCTGTTCCTTGCTGCCTGTCAAGGCCATTTTTTTTTGCATTTGAGATTTTCACCGCATATTAACGCGCCGTGCACAATTTATTAGCCGATCCTGCAAAGGACAGTAGCGAGCTATCTGTTCTTGTGAACTTGGAGGTTTGAAACTCTGGTGTAAATGAATAGTTTTAAAAAAAAATCATCATCCAGGCATAGTTTTTGCAGAACCTCTTGGAAAAATGTCGCTTCCAAACACTTTTACCTGGTTGGAAAAAAAAAATGGACTCTGGTCCTACGAAGCGTTTCCAAGTTTATGGTGTAAGAGGGCAAAGGTAATTCTGCGAAATTCTTTTGCGCTCTAAAAGGTCCCCAGAACTTAAAATTACCTTATGGTCAATAATCAGGAGCCCCGATAGCATGTGCTTTTTAATAATGGGTGAGGATTGTTATTTTATTATTTTATTTCATATGGTGTTTTTATATCCTTGTAAGCCGCCTTGAATAGCCATGTGCAAGTAGGGGGCAATATAAACTTTCTAAATAAGTAAAATATTTTGGTCGTAATGTTGGAAAGCTAGTTGAGTCTAGTGGTGAAGGCTTCAAACTGGGAGGGGGAGTTCTAGTCCTGCCTTAGGCATGAAAACTGGGTGACTTGGGGCCAGCCAGTCTCCCCCCCCCCCTCTATATATACACACCTATCTATTTATTTTCTCTTTATCTAGATATCCATTACCTATTTATCTCTATCTAGATATCTATCACCTATCTATTTCTCTCTTTCACTCACTATCTATTTATCTCTCTCTCTCCCTCTCAACCCATCTCAAAGGATTGTTGTTATGGGAAAAAGTAGGAGAAAGAAAGAAAGAAGTAGGTATGTTCACTGTCTTATTTATAAAAAAATAAATAAAGGCAGGATACAAATAGGATAAACAATGAAGTGCAATTAGACACATTGTTTTGGGCTACTATATAGCTTTCCTCCTATAATGTTCAAAAAAACCAGTGCAGTTCATAGTAATTTTTCCCAAATTAGCAAAGCATGGTTACTCTGGGAACTACCGTAAATCAGTTTTAGAAACATATTTATTATAGCCATTTCTGTTTTATTTCTGGCTAACAGGCCCAAGGCAGGGGTGTAATCTGAAGGCCCTTTCGGATTAAGCTTTGATGAAAATGCAGATTTAGAACAGTCGAATAGAGCTGGAAGGGACTTTGGAGGTCTTCTAGTCCAGTCCCTCAAGCAGGAAAACCTATACTATTTAGTGGAATCCGGGGTTTAATTTTGGAATAAGTCTGAATTCAAAAGCTGCAGGACCCTAAAAAAACCAAAGCGCCAAAAACTTTGGCTGCAATCCTGCGTTTCAGGTTTAGGCAGCCAGGAACACAACCCAAGGTCAGGCCTTGGGAGCGTATGTGTGCAAAAGAGAGCCAACCCAGTGGCTTTTGTGTTTTCCCATAAAATATTTATGGCTGAGATCCGATCTGGCGTTGCTCAGAAACGAGCTGTAACATTGAAAAACCATGAAGACGAAACTTCTCCGTCAGCCTGAAATCAACCAGGCAGCGTCTTGCTTAAGGCAGTTCTCAACACAACCGCATGTTGCTCTGAACTTTTGCGGTTGTGTGAATCAACCCAACTGGCCCCGGGTAGAGTAACAGGGAGAGAGAGAAAGATCTCCCTTCCCTGGGAATGTTCAACCACGGAAAGTGGGGAAATCCCAAGATAAGCGTGGATCGTTGCCTGGGCCTCCCCCGTTGAAGAGTATTTCATCCAGTTAAATATAATATTTAGTTTTAGTTTACTTGATTGTCATTGCACCACGTACAATGAAATTAAATGCCATCTTCAGTGCACATTCTAACTATAAAACTAAAACAAACATACACCTCCTTCACGTTCTACACAATTGAATTGAAAGTTTCTGATGTTGCAATAATATTGGACTATGTGGTAGAATTCAATAAGAGTTCCTGCCCTGGGATAGAAGCTGTTTTTCAGCCTATTTGTCCTTGTTTTTATTATTATCCTGTACCACTTGCCCGATGGTAATAGTTCAAAAAAAAAGGGGGGGGGTTGCCCAGGAAGAGATGGATCTTTAGGAATGTTTTAAACTTTCTTAAAGCTGCGGGAGCTATAAAGATCTTCTAGAGAGAAGAGAGGGCAACCAATGACCATCTGGGAAGGGTGTCAGCAGTCCGTGGCTCTAGAGCCACATGCGGCTCTTTTGGGCCCTCTGCTGTGGCTCCCTGTTGGATGATCCTACCACTGGCTGGCCCCGACTCTCAACCTCCCCTCCCAGTCTGAGAAGGTAAAACACAAAAAACAGAAATGAGAGGGAGAGAGAGAGAGAGAGAGAGAGACCCATTTCCCACAAAAACACCAGGAGCCACAAAACCTGGGTAGGCCTGGGTGTGGGTGTCATGTGACTGAGTGGGAGCCACGTTGAGTTGGCCACGCCCACCCAGGTTTTGTGGCTCTCCCGGTGTTTTCTGTGGGAAACGGGTTCAAATGGCTTTTTTTAGAAAGTTTAAAGTTGCAGATCCCTACTCTGGGCAATGACATTTAACCCTCTGGGGCGCTGTCCCATCCCGCCCCTGTGCGATTGGCAGATCAGACACAGGGGCAGTAATATAATTTAGGATGGGTGCGTGCAGGAAACAGGCCCTTTCTGTGCCAGGTGCAGTTGCCAAGCCCGCCTTCTGCCCCCCCCCTCCTCCAATTTCCATCTCAATCCCACCTCGTCTAACCAGCCGGACTTGTTCTCTGAGAGGGATAATCCTCCCAAGTCTTAAGGGGATGGATCAAAAGGGTGCAACGTTGCCTTTTTCTTTGGTGCCCAGCTTCTCTTTCGCCACTCCGCCTTCAGCTTCCTTGGCCTATGGGAGGAGGGGAGTGGTGCATTGCACAAGACCAAACAGTTTTGCCTCAAAGGGCCCCCCCACGCCTCCCCCTCCTGTTCTCCCTTTGAGAGATTAGGTAAGGAGCGAGGAAACCAGAACCGCTGGGAGCTCTTGGCAATCCTTATGCAGTGTTGGCCAAACAAACAGGTTTTCCCTTCCCTTCTTGCACGGAGATGTTTACCCAATCTTGCAAGCTATGCAAAGTATGTTTCTGCGCCACCTGATTATCACTGCTTCGGGAAGTGAATCATAAGAATGAAGAAGGGCTCCAGAGCAGGATAAAAAAGGCCAAATGCAGTCTAAACATCTGGCTGATTATGCGGTGAGCTGTATTAAGGGATGACTATCAAGGGCATTGTTGATATCCTCATCTTCACAAAGCTAAAGGTTTTTAACCTGAGTTTCAGAAATACGTTGTTGGTTCTCTTTCTTGCAACGCCATTGCTTTTTGATATCTATCTATCTATCATCTATCTATCTATCTATCTATCTATCTATCTATCTATCTATCTATCTATCTATCTATCTATCTATCTATCCATCCATCCATCTATTTATCTATCTATTTATCTATCTATCTATCTATCTATCTATCCATCTATCCATCTTTCTATCCATCTTTCTATCTATCTATCTATCTATCTATCTATCGAAAAGCGAAAGACCACTCACGCATCATCATAAAATCTCCAGAACCATAAAGCTTACAAACTTGAACATTGGCATGTTTGTTCCTCTTGGCTTCTAGGTGCTCACTGAGAAAGGATTTTTTGAAATGACTATCAGAGCATTAGAATTTTGTATATTATTATTAACACGCTCTGATGCTAAGGAGTTCTACTCCCCCTCCCCACCTGAAAAGAAATCTGTTCCAAATGCAAAACACAAGCAGAGGAGAGGAGTTTCAGTTGTAGTTTCACAGCACCAAGCAGCTTTAGTACAGAACAGTTGAGCTAAGCCACGCCCAGGCTCCTTGCTGTCTCCTTACTCACATAGCAAATACTGTTTCAGTTTCCAAACAGCCCTGAACTATCTCACACACTGACAGGATGCTAGCCAGATAAGTACTGATGGATGCTGGTAAGCAGAGGCAGAATTTTTTCCCTTATTTTCCTCCCCCAAAAACTAAGCCTGACCACATAGTTTTGTAGCGAAGCACGGGTATCGAGCTAGTATATATATAAATTTTATTAATTTTCTATTGTTTACAATTGTAAACTCTCTGGATATTTAATTTGCGTAACAATACAGATCCCATTCTTAATCTCTATCCCCGCTTTTTTTTCCAACCGCTGGTAAAATAAGTTGCATGTTTGATAATATTCTGTGTCTTCTTTCGGTTTAATTTTCAATGTAAGTCTGTCCATTGCTGCACAAACTACCATTGGCTTTTGAGCATGTTTTTCCCCCACCCAATGTTCCTGAAACCCTGAGAATGTCAAGGCTAACTAAATTCAACTCCATCCCATCTGATCCACTTTTTTCGCCATCTTGGCCAAGGCTGGCTAGATGCTCCCACTTAGCCGAGCTTGGAACCTGGAGTAGCTGAAAAGCAACCAGCAGGGA